TTTGGCGAAAATAATTAAAACTCTGGCATTCCACCAAGATATGATGAACTGTCAGATCTGCGTTGCAGTTTGGGCAGCTGGGATTCTCTTCTCCCTTCAGAAGATACTCATGGGTCAGGCGACAATGGCCAATTCTCAGTTGAGTCAAGAGGACATCTTCCTTTCTATTAACCATACATGGCCAGTATCCAATGGTGGGTTTTACATTTCTCAGCTTGTTACATACTCTGTCATCCCATTGCTTCTGCCATTTGCTGAGGATTTTGCTTTTGACAAACCCTTTGATGTCTGCTAGTGGAATCTGAAGATTGTACATTGTGGTTGCAGTTTTAGCTGCAATATCTGCCAATTCATTCCCCTTAATAGCAACGTGTCCAGGGATCTACGAATATAGAATCTGGTATCCCCGAATTTTTAAAGAATGATTCAACTTTAGGATTCTGATTGCAACTGGATGAGTACATTGAGCGTGATTTTTCAATGACATTAAGGCACTCATGGAATCTGTGTAGATAATAAATTTTGTGTACTTTTGTTTTGAAAGGTAAGTCAAAGCCAGATGGCTCAGAAGTAAGCACAGAGCAAACTGTATGTAATCGAACCCCTACTATTGTTTTTTCTGTGACGAAAGCAGCGCCAACATGATCCTGGGATTTTGATCCGTCTGTATATAGAGGGATATATTTCCTATATTTGTTTCTATGTTGAAAAAAAATCTGCTTGTAGATGATTTCATTAGTTTGTGATTTATTCCAGTGTCGAAAAGTATCCAGAGAATGGATTCTCCTATCCTCCCAGGGAGGAATTCCAAAAAAATCCTCCATCTGTATATCTATATTAGATAAATTATATAATCCATCCCACCAAGAGCAATTTCTTGTGATAAGACTTTGAAATAATGCTTTTAAGACAAAGATTTTCACGTCTTAACCGCAGGGAGGACTCGTTACTTTCCACATATAAGCTTTCCACTGGAGAAGTTCTAAAGGCACCAGTGCATATCCGAAGTGCATGGTGATGTATCGGATCAAGTTTGGCTAATACTGAAGGCCTTGCCGACCCATAAATGATTGATCCATAATCTAGTTTCGAACGAATGAGAGCTCTATATATAAGAAGCATTGAGCTTCGATCAGCACCCCAAGAAGTATTTGACAGTACTTTCAGAATATTCATAGTTTTTAAACATTTCTTTTTTAGATATGTAATATGGGGGAGGAACGTAAGCTTATGGTCAAATATCATTCCTAGGAATTTTATTTCCTTTTCTACAGGAATCAGCACATCTTGCAGATAAAGTTCGGGGTCAGGGTGAAGAATTTTCTTTCGACAGAAATGTACACACACAGTCTTTTGAGTAGAGAATCTAAAACCATTTTCCTGTGACCATTTAACAATTCTATTGAGAGATGTCTGCAATTTACATTCGATGTCTTTCAGGTCTTCTCCCTGGCAACTGACTTGCAGGTCATCGACATAGAGCATACCCTGGACTGCTAGAGGCAGTTGTTTTAAAACAGAATTAATTTTTATACTAAATAATGTAACACTTAATACACTTCCTTGCGGAACGCCCTCTTCTTGATGGAACATGTCAGAAAGTGTATCGCCTATCTTCACATGAAACTTCCGATCCTGTAGGAAATGTTTGATGAATATCGGCATGTTTCCTCGTAAACCATTGTTATATAGGTCACGAAGGATACCGTATCTCCAGGTGGTATCATAGGCTTTCTCTATATCAAAGAAAATGGAAACATAATGATTTCTTCTAACGAACGCTCTACGGATACCTGTTTCTAAGAGTAGGATATTATTGATAGTTGCTCTTCCTTTTCTAAAACCGTTCTGATAAGGGGAGATACAGTTATTTGTCTCTAAATAATAAACCAGACGAGTGTTGACCATCTTTTCAAAGAGTTTGCAGAGGCAGCTAGTAAGGGCGATGGGACGGTAATTCGACGGATTAGTAGGGTCTTTTCCTGGTTTAACAATGGGGATGACAAAAGCTATTTTCCAGTCATTTGGAAAGACTTGTTCCTTCCATACTCTATTAAAGAGAAAGAGGATGGTTGCCAATGACTTGGAAGGAAGATGTTTCAGCATAGGATAGGCAATATCATCTGGACCAGGACATGAATTTTTTGTCTGCAGCAGAGCTCTTTTCAGTTCAAGCACAGTAAAATCCTGATTATATGGTTCAGTATTGGGAGAGTTGAAATTAATTAGTTGTTTTTCAATGCATTTTTTTGCGGAAAGAAATTCAAGAGGGTAGTTACTACTGTGTGAGACGGCTGAGAAACTCTGTCCAATAGCGTTGGCAATTTCTTCCCTACTAGTAACTGTTTCACCACTTGTCTTTAAAATGGAAAGTGTGTGCTCTTTGTAGATACCGGACGCTTTCCGGACTCTCTCCCACACCTTCTTACCCGAAGTTGAAGAGCTAATCGAAGACACATACGAGATCCAAGAATTCTTCTGACTTTTCCTTCGCACCTGCCGAGCTTTTGCTTTAGCCCTTTTGAATATTACGAGATTTGATTCTGAAGGATATCGCCGAAAAATGCTCCAAGCTTTTCTTTGTTTTCTGATGGCGTCCTGGCATTCAGGATTCCACCAGGGCTTTGGGTATTTTGGCTGTTTACCCAACGTTTTTGGTATACATATATCAGCTGCTTGAATAATTTTATCTGTAATGATCTTCACAGCCTGATCAATGTGCACATTCTTTATTATTTCTTCAGTAAAAAGAGCATAATGTAAGAAAGAGTCCCAGTCGGCTTTGTCCAACAAAAAGCGTGGTGTTCTAGGTATAAACACACTCCTATTTCCTGTAATGCTTATGATAATAGGAAAATGATCGCTATTATATAGATAATTCTCGACATTAAAAAAACAAAAAGGCAAAAGCTGTGGAGAAACAATAGCAAGGTCAATGGAATGGAAGGTCCTTGTTGGCTGATGAAAATAAGTGCTTTCTGTGTTGTTAAGGATACAGAGACAGTGTCGTCGTGGAGTAGCTGTTCAATTTGCTTTCCTCGTGGGTTGGTGTCTTTACTACCCCACAAGGGATTGTGTCCATTGAAATCACCGACTAGAATAAACGGAGCTGGTAATTGGGCAATTAGATCCTCTAAATCTCTTAAGTTAATGTTCTCATTAGGCGGGATGTAAATACTGCAGACAGTAGTCAGTGTTCGAATGCTCAACTGTACTGCAACTGCTTGGAGAGGAGTATCCAAAGGGAGAGCACTCGAAGGGCAATTAATTGAGGTAAGTAGACAGACACCACCACTTGCGCGTTCACTGAATGTCTTATCCTTTCTTGTCATCGAGTACCTACGTAGCTTTGCAAAATTACCAGGTTTGAGGAATGTCTCTTGTATCGCTATACAAATAGGTCGATATTTATTAATAAGTTGCTTAATGCCATCAATACCCTGATAGAAGCCCCGGCAGTTCCACGAAATGAGAGTAGCCATTAGGAATGTTTATTGCTTCGATGCTGTTTCTTTGTTTTGTGAGGTAGAACATTTTTCGAGAGATCTCCGCCTCCATCTGTTTCCATCTCAGATTCGATAAAGTCTGAAAAGGTCCCTTCAATAGAGCTTCGGCTTGAGCTTCTCTTTTCTGAGCTTTTGATTTTCTTTTTTGAACTCTCTGTTTCTTGTGTTTTTATTTCTCGACTTTCTATTGTCTGTTTGGGAGGAGGTAGAAGAAAGACTTTTTCTTTGTCATTTGTTTTTGGTTCAGGTATCTTCTTCTGTGTGCTATGCGATGTTTGTGTACTTATTGACCGATATGATTTAGTGGCTTGTGCATAGGAGACATTTGCTTTTGACTGACCCGTGCTAAAAAGTTTCTTAGCTTCAGGATAGGAGATTTTTCTTGTAGTCTTAATATGCTGTATTTCTTTCTCTTCTTTCCACTTAGGGCAGTTTCGTGAGTATGCTGGATGATTGCCATGACAGTTTGCACATTTTGGATCAGCTACACAATCCTGACTTTCGTGACCTCCTGCAGAACAGCGAGCACATGCCAGGTTTCCCCGGCATGCGGCCTTCGCATGGCCAAACCGTTGACACTTGAAGCAGCGCAGTGGGTTCGGCACGTAAGGTCTGATGGGGCAATTTAGGTAACCTGCCTTAATGGCTTTCGGTAGCTCTGGAGAGGAGAAAGACAGAATAAGATGTTTTGTGTTGACGAGTTGCCCGTCTCTACGGACTTTTATTCGGCGGACGCCACATACATTTTGCTCGGCGAGTTCTTTTGAAAGTTCATCCTCAGAGACTGATATCAAGTCTATTTCCGAAATGACACCTCTTGACGTGTTCAAAGACTTATGTGGGGATACAGTAATAGAATGTTCCCCCATTTTGGTCATTTTTTTGGAGAGAGGAAGATTGTGTATCAGATGTAGTCTCGATGAGCAGAGATCCTGAACGGAGCTTTTTTATGTGTTTTGGCTCGCCTACTGAGGCCGCAATATGCTTATGGATGAAGGTGTGGTGATAGATTTTCTAGCTCACCAGTGATAACTAAGAACTTTGGATATTTGTTTGTGCTAATTAAGGTCGAAGTACAAATTCTTTTAGCAGCTCCAGAATTTTTCGTATCCATATGGTTAGGAGAAGAAGTTAAAGTATTCATATTGAAAAGAGAGAAGGTTTCGGGCCCGACCGCCCCACCCACCATGGAGCCCAACAAGGGAACACAGATCCCTGTGTTAGGGCTAGCCGGGCCTATACGCAAACTGAAGCCCCCACAGTCGGCTTTCCCAAAAGCGGAGACTTCCGAGAGCTTATCCCCTAGCCACTGACCAATAGGACTAGTGGCCAGCCGATTGACACTAGCGGGGACAGCTAAGTGCCTCCCGTTTTAAGTAGAAGCAGAGGCCAAAGCAGTGTGTTGGGGACAGTACCTCGCCCCTCAACTGCCAGGATCCTCCTTTCCCACCCTACGGGTCACCATGCACGGCAAACGCATAGGCGGTATTCTCACCATGGTGAGACAGAAACCAAGAGTAGTAGCTGCATCTCACAGTGAGCCCCAACCTCCAGTAGAGGAAACCACAAGGGAGAAAAATAGGAGAGAGAGCTAGACAAGAGGAGAGGAAAGAGAGGAGGAAAGGTCACTGGGACCCCGGGAGTGTGATACCCGATCACCAAAACGGCAATCCCCTGAGGGTTCTTCACCTGCTATGCTTTAGCTGGGCATGTTGGAACAGCCTTCACGCCTAGGGTGGCCCTACCAGGAGCTATGCTCCCGACGTACTTCGCCCGTTCCGCCCAGTGACACCCCCCCGCCACGTTGAGGCAGCATAGCAGGACTTTGGGGGGGCGGAACCATTTGGATACATGCCTGGTTACCTGGCATGTGTTGCAATGCTATTTAAAAAAAAAGAACGTATTTGTGTTTTAATTCTGTTTATTAAAGTGCTTTTGGATGTACAATATTTTTGTTGTTGCTGTTGCTTTTTCATCTGGTGCTGGCGTTCACTTTTCCACCTGGTTTCACTTTCCCTCCCAAGAGCTTCAATCTTAAATATGAATGGTCTGTAATGCATGCGTTATTAATCCATCTTTCCAACGACCATACTTGGATGAAAACTGTAATCATAATTAGTATCGCAATGGAATGCATCAAGATTTAAATCAACGTGCAGTGTTCGTCTGGATCGAGCAGTGCGAACTCGAACGTTTTCCAGTCTTGCTTTCCATGGCTTGCCTGTTTCAGAAGAATGAGCTTGAAGCAGTGCGTACTTGAATTTTTGCCACTCTTGCTTTCTGTTACTTGTTTGTTTCATACGACAGGGTTTGAGCAGTGCGTACTAAAACGTTTTTAGTCTTGTTTCCCGTTACTAATTTATTTCTGAAGCTCGTGATGTGCCTTTTCCTTTTGTGCTTGAGGGTAAATTGAACGATCGATCATCATTTTGGTGGCATAATTAATTTCAAAGAAAAGTTAATGCTTTGCGACGTCTATTACTAATTCGCTTTCAAAACGCCAAGAGAAAATGCATGTGATGCAATAGAACGCAAGTTAATGCGTAAAAAATGAAATATTTTACGCTTTGCTGAACGATAACAAACTTTAAAATATTTTTAATTTGGGTGTTGCCATCAATGGAGTCGTAAGGAGGGTACGACTCCATTGATGGAAACACATTTCCCTTAAGTAGCCGAGTTTGTTTATTAACTTCAAGAAAAATTAATATAATTGCTTATTCCCGAGTGACAACACAACTTTTTTACATCGCCGAGTTTTTTGATTAAATCTGAAACATATATATCTTACGCTTCGCAGAGTTGCAACGCAAAACTTTTATATCGCACAGTTTTTAATAAAAAGTTCGTTAAACTAGCATAAAATATACATTGGTGTGCAAAACTTAAGCAACAGGTGTTCTTTTTGGCATAACTCCACGAGAAATCATTTGAGAGACATGAAATTCAGAATTAAGAGACATCATTTTGTATTTAAACGATGACGAAAGCATAATTGCTCTAAAAATGAATACAATGCATACAGTATGGAATCAAACAAAAACAGGCTTTATTGAACTCATAGTAACGTTACACATGATTGTCTTTACAAGAGGAAGAACAACAAGCAGGTGTTCCTTAGTATGGGATATGCCCTCCCCTTACTGCAATGGTTGCTTCGAACGGTCTCTCCATACTCAGCACCAGATTTTCCAAAAGATCTTGAGGTAAGAGTGCCCATTCCTCAATCAGCATCTGTTTCAGTTGTTGGGTGTTTCCTGGAGGATGTAATCGTGTCACAAGCGTCTCCCCAAAGCATCCATGGGGTTTAAATCAAGGGAGCACGCTGGCCAATCCATTCCAGTGATATCTTCACTTTTCAGTAGCTTCTGAACAGCAAGAGTGCGATGTGGTCGTGCTTTTTCATCCATAAAAATGAAGTCTGCTCCAATGGCACCTCGGAACAGACGCACAGGGGGAAGGATCACCTCCTGACGATAGCGATCTCCGGTTACAGAACTTCTGTCGAAAACGTGGAGCTCTGTCCGCCCGTTCTCCCGCGAACGGGCTGGCTGCATGGGTGTTTTCGTGGTTTTCCCCATGTGTAACGTGTATACGAGCCAGTTTCCCTTAGAAAGTCCTCCACGAAGGCTCTCCTCCCCGTAGGCAGATAGCCCTCGAGGCTTTGCCATAATCACACACACACACACTGTCCGCCCGTTCTGCATAATGCCTCTCCAGACGAGATCTTCAGGACACCGTAACGGTCTCTTTCTGTAATGTTATTGAGATTAAACCATGTCCCGACCTCTCTCCAAATCAATTTGTGTTGAGAATCGCTTGTGGCACTAAAACGATTCTCATCCGTAAGGTGGGTATGACTTCATTGATGATATGCCCAGGTTTTGCGCTCTTCTCACCACTGTAAACGGTGATGCCGATGGCCAACTTTCAAAGGGATGCAGCGTTCAGAACAGCAGGCGCATAGACCACCTTTGTGAAGGTGTTTGGACGCAATAAACCACGACAATTGTCGCCCGTTGCCGTTCACAGTTGTTGAGCTGTGGCACTTGCTGACTGGTTTGGACTCTTTTCGTCTGCAAGACTATATATAGGTTATTTGTTGCGGTTGTTTTCCTGGGACGGCCACCACCAACCTTTCTAACAGCCGTACCTATGGTTTGTAATACTTTCCACGCGTGAGAAAAGATATTTTTGTTGATTCCGAACTCTTCAGCTATACTGGTTACACTTCGCCCCTACTCCAGATTTTCGATCATTCTTCCACGTGTGAAGTCATCCAGATCATTTCTTCTAGCCTTATTTCACAAAAGATCATTAACAGAAAATTATAACTCGTGGAAATTCTTTATTATGTACACATATGAAAAATTATGTACTCATATTATTTTCCGTTTTAAGTATAAATATCACCTAATAAAAAATTAGCATTAGCTATAACATATATCACAAATTTGTTTTAATCCCTAAAGGTAATACGTAATTAACGAAATAATTTTCTGTATTAATGAAAAATAATCTTTCTAAATTGTTCAGAACTAACACAATATTGTCCATAATAAGTACTACTCACTTTTTAATTCATTGGTTATGAAATATAACTACAAGCTTGCATGTGTTTAATAGTATTTCACTGCTTATCATTCTTCCTAAAAATTATAGGATAACCAAGAGTTTCAGAAATTTTTATTTTTTATGAAATGTGTTATGTAACTCCAATTGGCAATAGAGCTCATATTCGAAATATCCGTATAATTAGTTTGCTCTTTACCATAAGCAAACGCGCGTTGCTTACGGAAACTAGGGGGGGGGAAAACACTACTAGAGTGTGAAAGTTTTAGTTTTCTTTTATCATATTTTATTTCAAAGAGCTTGTACAGTTAAAAAAATATTTTTTAATTTCCATGCAACAAAATACAATTCTTCGGATAAAGTTACGAAATGAAATCATTTCTACGTGCTTTACACAGAATTTAAACTAAAATAATAACATCAATTTTAATTTAGGTAGGTCTTTAAATTAAGCAAGTTATCTTTCACTATTTTGAAATCAAAGAATGAAATAATCTTCTGTTTACGCAAATCAAAACTCGCAACTTATGATTAACAATGCCCTTAGTAGAAATACTTTACTTTTGGGTTCCGGTTAGGTTAAGTTAGGTTATTTGAATACGGTAAATCATCTACATAGAGAGATTTGGTTTGGTTCATTTAATTACGGCAAAGCACACGAGGGCTATCTGCCTAAGGAGAAGGATACCTTCATCGAGAACTTTCGATTAGGAACTGGCTTTGTATACATGTTACACATGGAGAAAACCGCGAAAACGACCATGCAGCCAGCACATTCTCCGGGATTCAAACTCCGGGGACTGAACGACCAGTGTTCAGCTACTTTGCCACTCGGCTACTGGTGGGTCATCTCCATAGAAAGAGGCATGGCTTTGTGGAGGTCTTTCTAAGAGTAACTGGCTCGTATTCACGTTACACATGGAAAAAATCACGAAAGCCAACCTGCAATCAACCAACTTCATCTGGGTTCGAACCCGGAACGAAATATCAGTATTCAGCATCTTCTAACCACTTGGCCGCTAATGAAGGCCAGTTATGATTAAGCAAGACTGTTGGACACTTCAACCCATGTTCGAACCCCGGCGAAAGGGTTGGTTGCATGTTTTCTTCATGTGTAACGTAAATACAATCCCGTTTAGTCTTCGAGGTATTCTATCCTTACGTTTAGTCTTTGACGAAGGTATTCTTCCCTTTGCAAGTTGCTCTCGTGCACTTTGAATTATTAAAAATCAACTATCGAGTCTACACATTTAGTAACCTCGTAAGAAAATGTGTTTACTGCACTGAATTATCAGGGCTGTATTACTCAAACCAATTAAACAGTAAAGACATAATTAAATTAACAGCATCTTAATTTTATTTGGCCTTAAAAGAAACACAAATAATCTAAAATATTGCAGACCCGATGACTGGAGTCTTGCTGTAAATGCTGTTGCAAAATGAGTATCCCGAGTATTTATAATTTTGCTTCTTGTCTCTTCATTTATAATTTAAGATGATAATAGTTTATGAACTTTTACCACAATTTCCCATTACTGGCGTTCTATCCATGCTAGAAAGTAGAAGGTGGGACAGTGGTGTGTTTGTTTGTTCTTGCAGACAATACGCGGGAGGGCGCCGTCCAGACAAACGAGCGACTCCGGCTGGTAACAGGAAAAGTGACCGTCTCGTATAACACAGTGAAGGGTGCTCTCACCGGCATGCACGAACGCTACGAGGCCTCGAAAGTGGAGCGCAATGTTTTCCGAAGGTACGCCCTCCTCAAGGGGATCGTAAAGGAAGTAATCCAGCTGGACGCCCAATATTGGCTGCTTCTTGATGTCCCGAAGCAAGATAAACAGGAACAAGTGAGTCTTTATTCATTACTTGTTGTAAATATTTCGCTTTCTTTGCTTATATTTTTATGTCTTTTGATTTAGAACTATTTTGTATTTTTGTTCCATTTAGGTATGTTCATTTATTATTAAATTTTTTTAAATTTTGTTTATATTGTTCATTATTTTTATTATAAACGTTACCTGAGCTTGTGTAATTTGTGAGAGATAATTTTTAATGTGTTTAATTGGAGTACTTGTGTATTATCAGGTACCTGTCAATATATTGCCAACAGCCTTTTGCACTTTCTAATGGTTAAATATTGTTTTTAAAATCATAAGATCAATGAAATAGGTTTCTTTTCTATTACAGGCAGATAACGTTTAGCAATGACATTCAAATTACATCAGATACTATTGTCTATAGCAGGGTTGGCCAAACTTCAGTAAGAGCCATACGTTTGAATTCAGGAATGTCCGAGAGCCACAAGTTCATGTTTACATCATTATAGAAGTAGTGGAGGAGATTTTAAATAGAAATAAATCCCTGATAACTTTGTAAAAATAGTCTAAATTAATTACTTCCTTTTGGACACTGAATAGTTTTAGTTTACCATATTTCATACACATATTTTATATGCATGAGCCGCACAAATTGCCTTCGAGAGCTTTATCAGGCTCGCGAGCAGCACTTTGGCCTCCCCTGGTCTATAGCTTGCCTCTACCTTTATATGAGCTCCGCTAAATAAGAAGGCAAGTGCTAGGCTCTCAAACTATTTCCCTTCTGTTATTCTAACACTTTGTCGACTATTGCTCTTATTACATATCCATCTTACGCCTTTCATCTTAGGTAAGTTTCGAAAAACTCGAGATTTTTTTTTTTTTTTTTTTTGGCAAAATGGATAATAATGATTTTAATAACGGATATTATCTATTTCATTTCTCAATAAATCTAATAAATACATGATGCAAAACTATGTCAAAAAAGAAAAAGCATTTGCCTGAGAAGCGTGCGAAGGGGTACAAATATGCATTTCCTCTAAATGGTCTGAGATTGATATCGAAATGTTGAAATAAAAAAGAAACCATTTCTACCACCTTTTAAGGAGTGAATAAACAGGAAAAAATTAATAAACCCGTTCATTTTAAAAAAAAACCAAAACAATTTCCAGGCTTGCAGAATGCTCACAGCAATCAGAGTCCGGAAAGGATATTTTTAGCAATATACCGGTTAATACACCAGAACTTTAACTAGTTTGATATTAATTGGTTCGCATAACCTCCTCTCTACTGTCCTTGGTTACGCATTATCTTCTGTCTTCTGTTGATCTCTAGCTGTGGTTCTTTCATTTTGGCGAAGAGATCGTATGGTCACCCAAGTATGGCGGGTATTCCAGTATCTCCCACTGCCAACGATCGAAGAAAATACATAATACTGCTCGAATTTTGATACCGTGCATTGTCATGAAGAATAATGAGAAGAGTTTGGGACGCAGATGATGTCTCCCAAATGACGAAACCCACTTACTACACACTCACTTCACGTACTTATACATTGTCTATTTTACGCATTGAATTTATTATAATAATTACTGCTGTATATGAAATATATAATGTATATATTGGTGATATATTAAGTAACACATAGTAAGGGGGAAAAGAGAACGCTTTTATGTACCCCATTCTGGTTGAATTCTATAAAATTCAACTCAACTTTTCCTTTTCATGTCTAGAATGTGTGCTTTAGGACGCGTGTTAAATTTTTGTATAGTACTGTACTAACATATGCAGTTTAGAAAGGAATACAGTTCGTTAATTTACATACAGATAAAAATGTACCCATTTTAGCGACGAAAATCTGAAATTCCAGTCTTTGCAACTTTTCAATTTTAAAATAGCTAAAGTTTTTTATTTTATATACTTTCCAAATTAAGACGTTATGTATCACCTTCTCTAATTCTGTATTTCGATTTTTTTAATTAACTTTCCATTTATCTTTTGAAACAATTTCAGTTTAGTTTAATTAATATTATGCTAACTTAACTGCACTGAAGATTTTTGTAAATTATGATAAATAAATTTTTTATACTGAAGTTATGCTTAAAAAATTTAATTATCAACGTATGTTCACAACATCTTTCAGATACATCTTAATAGTCAACAAATTTTATTTCCTAAATAACAACATTAAAAACAACATTTAAAGTAATCACTTTAGATATAGAAGTGGCTGTAAATTTCCTTTCTGTAATATATGACTATAACAGCTTACAAATACTTAAATTTGTAAGTATATATTATTGAAATAATAAGCAAACTCATAAAAATTTATGAAAATTAATATCTAAATGAAAGTCTAAACAATAAAACTTATAAAACACTATTTTGAAATAGAAGTATTGGTTTTAGAAAATGTTAGTTATTAGTCTAGTTATTTTTTCTTAATATTAATAATGGAAAATAATGTCTCAAGATTCTTACCACAGAAAAGCGAATCATCATAACACTCTCCTTTCTATCACATAAATCCTTATGTTTAAGAGAAAACTATTACTTCTTTAGCCAGCAGGATTTAATATCGTATGTGAGGCAACATTAAGCATCACTCATCCCTATATCATGTAAGAATTTTCCTTTTTGCTAATTGTAACTTGTGCCTAATCGCCAACAACACTGTAAGTGGCTTATCGCTATGTCCAGACATGAAAACAGAAACTTAAGAATGGTGTAAAAGACCATTTTATTTAAAAGTTAGTTAGTTGAACAGAAGGCACATCTGGTGCTTACAAATCAGTCAACATGTATGGCGAGAGCTCAAAGTAAAAAAGTTCATTGTAAAAATAAATCTAAATAACTACTAGCCAAAGGCTACGCAGAGTAAATGAACCCCGGAAGTTGGCTCTTAGGCTTACACTGGCGTGAAAGCACAATCGGTAAGAATAAAATACCGCCGAAAGCAGAAACCCTTATTTTAGATTAGCAAACTAGTAACCTGGCCTTCAGCAGGCAGAATACTTCATGCCTATGCGATTTCAAACCCTCACTTGAATAAATGCGGGCTAATTTGTATTCTGGCAGAAAAAAGAAAAGGGAGAAATGATAGTACAGATTTGCCAATATAAAATAACTGACTAAGTAAATTAAAATAAACCTTACAGTTAAAACCCCTTAGCTTTCTTTAATGATAAGAATGTTATTTCACAAACCAACACAGCTTTACTCTTGAGGCTGTACGGTAAGCGAGCTTCCGAGATGGAAAATAATCAAGCCAGTAGTTTTTAATATTTATTATAAAACTTAAACAAAGCTTTCTGGGTTAAATAAAATGTAAAAACATTAACACAGTTACAGAAAAGAAAGATACAGCTTTCGGATGCGACTTACTCGTACGACGTTTTTCAGACAGACTGTTTTACCTTTCTCGTTTTCGTCCCATAGAAACGGCTCAAGGGTGTGTTTGTTAACTAGGTTTTTCCTTGATTACTTTTCGACCATTTCGGCAGACACTCGGGGTATGTTCCTCTGAGAACAGGAAGTTCTCTAATATAAAACTGATGTTCCATTAAAACTGGGGATTGTTACGTGGTGAAGTCAATCAAATTTTTATTTACAAGTATACTATGATTTAGTTTTGAATTCCCCTCAGCTCACGATGTAGGTAATAATTAAATAAGATTGCCTAAAATTTTCAACCATAAGGATTTTAAAATTGATCTGAAACACGTTTTTTGAAACACACAATTTGTTTTCCTTTTCCAAAACACAGACTTCATCCAGAAGCCGAAAAACCACAAAGTTGATGTTAAAATATATGGAACATGACAATTATGCTAACCGTTCATACAAAAAGTTTCCAGTTTTTCTTCCGTTTGTATGAAATGCTATGCCTAAATGAGAAACAAATATTTTTAACTGAAAGAAGGTAACCGTATAAAATAAATCCTACTTGCCTTCTACAATCTCTGCATGAAACGTTATGCTCGGTTTCAAAGGTAATAAAATAGCTTTAACCGAAATATTTCTATTCTGAAGCAATAAATCTTACATTAAACTAAAAAAATGTTTCTGATATGCTTAGAATAAAAGAATTTCATCCAGCGAAACAAACCTGAAGATAGATGGCCTGACAAATACGCTCCAGATTCCGCCTATGTGCTAGCAATGAAACAATCGATCAGACATAAGAGAAATATAGCTCAGAACATAGAATAGGTACGTAAAATAAAAATTCTAAATTAGACAATGTTTCTTACTTATGAAAAATAGAATTTTGTATATTCTTAATCCAAAAGTTTATAACAAACTCTAGGCTAGAGATTAATATTCGATGAAAGTTGATTATAATTACATTTGGCAATATGTTATTCTTCGTAAGGAATTCAACAGACTCCAAGTACATAGCTTGTTGAAATGCAAATAATGATGTATCTAAAATTATAACAAAGAAAGGAGAAAACATGCATCATGTCTACAAAAGGATTTTACCCTGCCTTTTTTTGCAACTGTTGCTCGTAAACATGTATTTCCGATTACAAAGATGGTTAGAATGGTGCAAATATTCATGCCGTGACTTTTTTTTTTTTTTTTTTTTTTTTTTTTTTTTTTTTTAATTTTGGAAGTCAGTTTCAAAAATAAGTACAGTATCTAAGTTTTTATAGCTTGCTCCGTTCCCTATATTTATATTTCGGAAAATGTTATGGTCATTATTAAAAAAAATCTGAGGAGGGCACCACATGACTTATACAGCACATTAAATTATGCATATTTTTTGCTGCACTTCATTTAAACTTATTTCAGCGAATTTCATTGAAGATATATTTTTCATTCCATAAATACAGTTCTCACTCCGCGGCAAGTAAAAATACATAAAATTCAAAACATCTTCATTGAAAATTATAAAATAAAAAAAATCACCGAATACTTAAAAAGTTTTTGCAATTAAAATGACTTTCTGCGGAAAACAAGCAATTCGACCAACAGGCAGAAAGGCAAAATTTTCGGTGCATAAAACTTAACTCGGTCCAATTGCGCAC